TATCAGCAGAACACTGAGCAACTGTTGTTATTTTCACTACTACTATTACCCCTGTCTGATGATCTGACCTATGAAATGATACAAAAGGGAAGCATCTATTCTTGATGACTACACAGGCCCCAAATAAAATCAGGCTGTGTTTGACAATCACTGTCACAAAAAGTAAAACACATGTGCCCAGGCTGAGAGTGAGAGGTGGGTGTGTGTAGTGTTAGTTTAAAGGAACACCTTTGCCAAGGCAGGAGGAAATGGTGATAGATTTACAGTGATGTGACAAAGATTCCCGAAAGCTGCAGTTCTCCCATGGCCCGAAAAGATGATATTTGCTGTTGGCAGATGTAATTGAATTGGAAAAAGAGAGACCGCGCTCGCAGATCGTCACTTCATTTTATTCTTGTGTGGCTGCCGTCCAAAGGGCTGAAGTGAGAACTCCTCCACAGAGGCAGCTCCCAGGCTCAGTCCCCTCCTCCTCTTCCTCCTCTTCTGTAATGACTCCTTCAGCTGCCAGGAGCCTAAGGAAGTTGGAGAGGAAGAGGGTAAAGCCTTGAGCTCAGGAGGTCTGAGTGTGTACCTTGCTTCTGCAACTTGCTAGCTGTGACTGGGGCTAGTTGCCTCCCGCTCTGATACTTTTCTCTCATCCTTTGAAGGAAAAGCAAAGACAGTGCTGCTTATTCTTGAGGATGAGCCAAGTTGCGTTCTTTCATTTTCCTGGTTCCTCTAACCTCCCTCTCCAAACACTGCCTGCCACACCCCTCTCCTCGGGGTTGGCCACCTGTTGTGAATTCAGTAAGGACCCGGGTTTACCTTGACTAGTCCCATTTTACAAAAGAAATAGAAGCTTAGAGAGGTGAGATAATTAGCCTAAAGCCGGAGAGCTCACCAAGGCCACTCTGGGTAGTTGTTCACGTTGTACTTTGCACAGGGAAGCCCCACCAAAGGGGGTGACATTTACATTGTAGATAAACCCTCTTATAGAACAGTGTACATGGCCAGAGGGCTTCCAAGCCTCCCTGGCATGTCCTAGCATAACCAGTCCTTCATGAACTCACCCAGGCACCCATGGCAAAGCTTCTACTTGAGCATTGATGTCTACACACTTCCCAGCACACACAGGACAGTCCTGACCATACCCCAGCCACCCCCCGAGGTTGTTTCTCTCATTATCTTGGCTCTTGGTGGCTCAACTCCATTCCATCGCTGACTCACCAGCAAAGTCGCAGTAGACTCTGTTCTAAGGGAAAATTTTCTGGGGCTCAGTTTCCCTTTCTTACTGCAAAAGGATTTTACAAGAGTTCTGCAAATAGTACCCTGGAACCCTTGTACACTGTGGAACAATGCAGTTTTCATGGAAACCTGGGGACTGATCTCCATGCACACTTCCCGCCAGCAAGTTCTGTCCTCTGGTCAAGGGGGGCCTGCCACATTCTTTGCGAACTGCCACCGGGATGTCTGACCAGGGGTCCCACAAGGCCCAGCCCTGCTGCCTTTGTCAACCTTGTTTCATTTCAGTTTCCTTAAAAGAAAACCATCTCCCAGCTCCTTCTGCAGAGTGTAACATGGCACTTCTTCATTAGGGTGAACCCAGCCCTGGGAAGCAGCGGAACAGGTCACTTGCTGGCAAGGTTGCCATGGAAATTATTCACTTTTATTGAATTATTCATTTTCATTGTCCACCTAGAATGTCCCCCCAGGCTCAGAGCTGTGACAGACACTTGGACAGGGAGCTGTGTAGCCACACATCAGCAGCTCTGCCTGAGGGCTGGCTTGTGAGGGAGAAAAACAGGGAACCTTGAGCCAGAGCCCTAGAGTCCCTTATCAGTCATAGGGGACAGTGGTCTCTCGTGACGCTGTGCAGTCTTGGGCTCCAGACTTCTAAAGTTCCTGTTTCCTCTTCTCTCTTCTGAAAAATGAGGATAGGAAGGTGCCCAGCTAACTGGGTGGTTCTCATTATTGTATTACAAATTGTGTGCTTATAGGCCTGTTTCCCCTGTCTGTAATATGAAGACACCAGACCAAATACTCTCTAAGGAAGCTTCCAGCTCTGATATGGAGCCGAATGGCATCTTCTCGCCTGAGCTGCTAAATTTTTCAACATAAAATCCATTCCCCTCAGTAGACTTTGTCTTTTTCCCAGCAGCGGTCATAGGTTATGGTTTCAAACTGAGTAAATATTAAAAAACTAAACAGACCCAGTTCCAATTTCACAGTCAGGGAAAGAATTGGATCCATGATCCTTTGACTCCCCTGGGATAAGGAGGTGTTGGTGTTGCACCTACAACCTGACAGGCCAGGTGATGCTCACTAAAATCCCACTACCCTTTGCACCCTGTGGAGATCTTTGGGGCTGCTGGCAAGGCCTTCAACTAGTTTTCCATAGAATGAAATAGAATTGCCCATGTGGTTTATATTTTGTTGGGCTTTTTTTTTTTTTTTTTTTGTATGTTTGTTTCGAGGTTGTTTGTTTTAGGAATTCTAACCTAAAATCAATTTTTCAGTAACCACATCAACAAATGTTTAAGGATAGAAATAGAAGGCTATTATCACAGAAATACTGGACATTATTTAAATGCCTATTGGTAGAGGAGTGGCGATATACATTGTTAGTTCCTTCCAGCAGTTTATCATCTAGACATGAAGCAGAATGAACTGGATATAAACTTATTGATCAGTCGAAATGAGTAAGACACAGGCTGAGTGAAAAGACATGTAAAACAGCAAGTGAAATTCCATTCAAATAAAACCCATAAGCAGAAACATATAACCTAGATGTCTAGGACCAACCCATAGTCAGAACTAGAAAAGGTTGGTTTAAGACCCCCATCCACAAATTGGGGACCCCTGAGGACAATATTGGTGTGAATTCTGAAAGGACCTTTTTTTTCTTTCAGATAGGATCTCACTATGTAGCTCAGGCTGCCCTAAACTCACTATGTAGCCCAGGAAGGACCTCGTGGTGGTCCTTCTGCCTCAGCCTTCTGAGTGCTGGGATTACAGGCATGCACCACCAAGCCCGGCAGGACATTTGTTGATATAATTGCACTCGGATTCTCCATCACACTGCCCCCACCACCATATCCTTTCCCTGAATGAGCTCAAAGTCAGGGTTGTCTTACTTTCCCACATACCTATGTTGGTTTCACACTATCACAGCCCCAATACAGAGTCAACTCTTACCTTGATGTTTACCCGAGGACACTCACATGAGGTCTGCGTGTGTCGTGAACATTGCCAATGGTTTGTGGGAGCTTGTTGAAGGCTTTTCATAGCAACAAAGCCAGCAACTTGAAACTCAGTAATTAGATGACCCCATTTTCCAAAGAGGCCTTGACCATTCCTCTGCCCAGGGCTCAGCCTCCTACTGGGCTCTGCTTTGCACCTTTAGTTTTCTTTCTATTTTCAGCTCTATTGCTCTCCCTCTAGCTCTTGATGGGCCCTGGGAGCTTGGAGCGCTTCTCACTTATGAAACAGAGCAATTCAAGGCCTGTCCTGCTCCACCCACAAATCCATATCTAGGCCACCCTTACATCCCAACCCATCCGAGGGCTCAGGGTCAGCTTCTAACTGGCCACTCACCAAACAGAATCTGCCCTCCTTAGATAGAAGATGATGCTGCATATACAGAGTTTCTCTCTCTCCTGCTTTCTCATACACACACACACTCTCAGTCACACGCATGTATAGAAAAAGTCAGCCTGGAATTACATGCCCTGAAATGTTAACAGTGGTTATTTCTCACTAATGATATTTTAGATATCTTGTTTGGTTTGTCTTCTTTATATATTTTTGTAATATTTGAATTTTCTTAAGTAAACATATATCAGCTTCCCAGGCTGAGCAGGGGGCAAGGGCAGCAATTTTCATTTGGAGAAGGCCGTGTCCTCTGTGACTCTGACACCCAGTTCACTGCTCCCTGTGGCCACCTCCCACTCAGCCCTTGCACATTCACTGAGCACCCACACACCAGCCAGCATCACCAGACCTCTCTTCTCACTCATGCTCTGACTCATCTCCCCACTCTTCCACGGGCCCAGTGTGTGGTGCCACAAAGAAGCAGACAGCCACCCCCAGACCTGCCAGGAATGCTGCTTAAACTGCCTTCCCAACACCTCTGCTCATGAGCAGAGTAGCCATGGCAAAGGACCCTGAGCCATGGGGCCCTAGAGCTTTGTGAGAGCACCCTCGCCCACGTATTTTGGTAGAAACTTTTGAACTGAATCAAATAAAATCGTACATTATCTCATGAACAGAGTCTTGGCCCCTGGAGAGGAGTGTAGATCTGAATGACCACTCCAGCAGGAAAGGCAGAGGAAGACCAGGGGGCTTGGGAAGGACCCCAAGCTCCCAAATCCTACCCTTGACAGGTGCATATGATACTGCTCCTGTTATAGTGTCATTGAGATGACACATTATCACTGCTACCTTGTTGAAGTGACAAGAGATTGGTAAAGTTGCCCAGAAACTCATACAAGGGAAGAGAAACCATAGTCTAGAAAGGAGGATACAGATCCAGTAATCAGTAGTGAGGCTCGACATTCAGGGGAGTAGATTTCTGACTTCCCCCTCCGCTCCACCCTGAATCTGGCCTGGACTTCTGCCCAGTGACCTGTCTGTAGCCAATATAAATCACATAACAGGAATAGGGCTTAAAATCCATCCCCTATGATTCCTGGCACTAAGCCATTCACTGTGAGTATTCAATACCCTTTTGTCAAATCTAGCTCTCATAGAGTGACTCTGCCCTCTCTCTAAAATCTCCATTCATCGAGAGCCCTCTGCAAAGCAGGCACCATGCCATGTGCTTTCCTATGTCATAGCCCATTAAACCATCACACAGAGCTTCAAGGTAAGCGTTATTGCCCATTTTTTATAGATGAGGAAACTGTATCCCTCAGAGATTAACGTAAGTAACTAGCCAAATGTCCCACAGTCCATTAGTCAGCTATTGTGGAAATAATGCTATGTAACAAATAATCCACAAGTTCATGAGATGACAACAAGCATTTACTTCTCACTGACAGATATGGTTCCTATTGGCTTGGTGCCAGGCTGTGGTTGGTCCATTTAGAGAGTCTCCACATAGTCCTGGAATGAGAATTACCCAACTTATTCCTCTTAAAGCAGATAGGAAAAGCAGGACTCCAGGCCAAGATGTGTAAATCCATAGCAGTCTGTTGAACAGGACCCACAGTGATAGAGAAGGGAAGTATATTTCACCTTTTCTATTGAGAGGTCTGGTCAGGTGGCACTGCAATGAGTACAGATGCATCATTTTAATACCAGGATTAAAGAAATGGAAACAAGGACAAAGTGCACCTACAAACCTGTCTTTCTGAAGAATAGTTTGTTTTGGTCCACAGTTTCAGGGTTTTCATTTCAAGCAATTCCAAGACAGAAACATCTTGGTGGAAATGATGGTGAAGGAAAGCTGCTCTCCTCTGGTAGCTGGGAAACAGAGTGGGGGAAAGCTAAGGGCAAGATATTCCCTTCCAGGTTATATGCCAAGTGACCTACTCCCTTCAAGCGGACCCTAACCTCCTGAGAACTCAGAAATGGATTAATCCATGATGAGATTAACAATCCTATGCCCCAATCACCCCTCTGGGCCCTATTTCTGAACATGACTGCTCTGGGGACCAAGTCCTCAATACAGGAATCCTTGGAGGACACTTCATATTTCAGCTCTAATGGTACCTTTCATATATGACTCAGCATTCCCCACAATATTCTATGCGATATACAGAGCCTCCAATCCCTGATCAATGAACTCCAACACCAGGAACATTAGTGGGAGACAATACTACTAGATTCTGTCATATTTTTAACATTGTAGGCTTAAGATAGCTTAATCTTGATATGACAAACCACAGGAAACAGCCAGTGTCCTGGGTATTAGATCTGATGCTCTGAGTTCTTGTCTCGGCCCTGATGCTCCCTGGACCTCAACTTCCTTATCTCTATAATGGGCTGAGGCCGCTATGTAAGACCAAGAGCCTTGTTAGCAGTGCCCTTCCAGGAAGTGGTATTCCAGTCTCAGTGTTTGGCTCTGTACTACTCCAAGTTTCCTGTTCTCACTTCTCAAAATCCAGAGCCCTCAATCTTCTATTTTAGGTAAACACAGCCATTAGGAGGAATGAGGACTTCAGAGAGAGCGGGCTTCATTAGTCATTGTCCTCTAGCCCAGAAGCAGGGCTGAGCCCAGGTTGGTCAGTCTGAATGAGGCTCAGAGCTGCCCGGTGCTGGGACTTCCGCAAGAACTCCGCATCAGTCTTAGACTGGAGAGTCACTGCAGACAAGTACTAGGCGCATGCCTAGCAGGTAGGGCAAGCCATGGCAGAGAGGAAAGGTGTGGGATTCCTGCTACTCCAAATGACAGGTTCAGAGCAGCAGCAGCACCAGGAGGCAGGTTAAGAACGCTGTGTCTCAGGCCTTTCCCACAGCCTGAATCAGAATGAGACTGGTGCACGTGCGGTAGTTTGAGAAGCTCTAGCACAGCACGTCCACCCTCCTTTCAAGTCCCTTCATATTTTTTGTGCCAATGGCTCCTAGTGTACCTTCACTCCCAGCAGCCCGTATCCACTTCTCTTTGCCGGAGGGCTGCCCTCGAGCTACCGGAGGCCCCTTTGCCTGTGGCACAGACAGCCAGAGGGCCTGGAAACTTACATCCACTCAGGGGCAGCCCTTTACCCAGAGGTTCTAGAACTTTTACCATTCCTTGGGGCCCTTGGTGTCTCAGTGATGCATTCACTCTTAGGCCAAAGCAAAAAATAAAACTAATAGTTCCATTTATTAAGTAAAATGCAGTCCCAACTCTTTAACTAGTATTTATATCCTAGCAATTCAGTCATTGCGAATATGCTACATAAAAATTAAAGCAGAAAATAGTATGTTGACTGCACTCATAAATAACCACAATTACATATTGATGGGATGTGCGTGCCTGTTGGGCACTGTATGGCTCTTCAATTCTTAGAATCAGATTGGACACCGCCACCCTTATTTCCTGCTCTACATTGATTTCCATTAGGTACTCGCTGTTGATCCTAGCTGCTGCTTAACACCCAGTTTCACAAAGATTTGACGTCACTCAAGGGAATGTAGGGCAATCTAATGTGGAAACTGTGAACTGTCTTGAGACAGTGTCTAGCAGCTGTTTCTGTATTTTCCTCACAAAATTAAAATATCCCACAACACCTGGGATACCCTGCCCCACAGTTTGGGCACCATGGCCTGAGCCATGATTGACATTGCCAGGATCTAAGTATTCTAGCTCTCTCACCATAACAAGGACAGTTCTAAGGCATGACCTACATTGTACTGCCTGTCCAAATCTCAGCTGTCCTCCAAGAGCCCAGGGCTCAGGGTGGTGCTATTATTTACCCATCTTCTCTTACTTTCTCTTCCTGCCCCAATCTCCCTCCTCTACTCAGAACTACCTAAAAATTCTCCTTCCTGGGAACCTTCATCTCAGGACCTGCTTCTGGGGACTCCAACCTAAGAATAAGATGACCAGGAAGATCTGTGCTGGGAAGGTGATTAGGAGGTGATGCCACCTCCCAGGGGACACTGTGGCTACCTTTGCCCTGAACGGTAATAGTGGGGTGAGGAGTGCAGACCACATCCTGGAATGCCAAGGAGGTGAAATTAGCAGTGTTGGACATTAACTGGGTATGCAGGATGAAATAACCTCAGGCACTCCTGTTTTTCCCTCTTATAACAATATCACAAACAGCGATGGGGAGCCAAAATGTGGTGTGAGTTTGTGGGGAGAATAGTGAATTCATGCTGAGCTCAAACCCTGAAATCCCATTTCTAAAAAAAGGCAAAAGTTGAGTAGGCAAATTTTCCCACCCACTTTTTGAAAAGGGCTTTGTTTAAATGTGTGCTTGATGTGCTGTTCCTAGCTTCATTAACCCCCCTAATAATTATACTAATTACTGCACACTCTATGCATATGGATGTGTTTGGAACTCCAGCTCATGCTTGGCTTCAGACGGCAGACAATGCGTGTTGCCATTACACCCTAAAATGTTTTAGGCAAACAGAGGTAGCACCTGTTGGATATCATTGCTGGCGGGAGTACAGTTTGAGCAGTCTACACGCACCCACATGCTCAGCTGAGCCCAGACAGCAAAGCTCTGGTTCCTTAAAGGGGCCGGTGGGGGAGTAAGGGTTGTCATCTTCCCAGGGGCCATGGGGGGACAGTGCTGTCTTCCCACCAAGTGTTTGACCTATTCATCCCAATAATCTTGAACTGTGGGAGTTGTTATCTCTATTTTACAGGCAAGAAATTTGAGGCTTAACTAATGTTTTCATTCATTCAGTGGGTTTATACTCTCTTAGTCCACTTTGTGTTGCTATGACAGGACATCACACACCGGGCAATTTATGAAGGAAGATAATTTTTGTCTTATAGTTTTGGAGGCCATGTAGTCCAGGATGGAAGGGCTACCACTGGTTTATCATAATGTGCCAGCAGGCAGCACATGATAAAAGAATAAGAACACTGAGGAAGCCGAACTCCCTCTTAGAACAATCTACTCAATAATTAACAGCTTGATCTACCATGAGTGGAGTCCTCCTGAACTAATCACCTCCTGGAGGTTCCACCCTCCCAATTCCATCACCGTTGTAGTTGAATCTCAGTGTAAGTCTGGCAAAGAACTCGTACTATGTGCCAGTGACTCAAAGATTCCACAAAAACAGCAGTGAGCAAATCTGAGTTAGTCCCTCTCCCCTTGTACACTGGTTTAGATCTAGAATGTCCCCTAAGCTTCAGAGGTGGCTTTTAATCCCTTCTCCCTGTGCTTCCTAGACGCCATGATGTGTGCAGCTTTCTTCCACCTGGGCCTTCCACAAGGCTGTTTCTGCCCTGGAGCCAGTGTTACGTTATGTGTCTGGATGTTCTCCCAAAGCCTCACACAGTCATGGCGTGGGTTTTTTAGAGTTTAGGAATGAGCCATGATCCAATGCTGGGATTATGAGTATGAATGCTACACTCACCCTGGGGCAGATAGTTTACAATGTAAAGGAGGGAAAGAGGCCGCTTGCCATAGCTCCTCCCCTTGTCCTCTTGTTGCTTTTGCTGTCTTCTGCCGCCGTGAACTGCTGCCTCTGCCATGTGCCACTCTACCTTGGAGCCAGCTGAGTATGGACTGAAACCTCCACAAACTGTGGGCTAAATAAACCTTTCCTTCCTTCATTCTGGGTGTTGGGTATTTTGTCTCAGCAACAAGAGCAAAGTAACTGAGATGGCCAGCCAGCCTCAGACTGAAACATATAAAATGGTGAGCCAAAATAAACCTCTTCTCCTTCAAGTTGTGGGTTTCAGATATTACGTCCCAATGCCAAGAAATTAACAATGACATTTCACTTCCAGTGGGGATGGACAAGGGGTCTCAATTGCATAAGAGCCCTAACAAGAGACCAGGGAAAGGAGAGACATGATTGCCCAAGAAGACCTGTGTCTGGAGAGAAAGTCTGAGCAAAGGCCAGAATGAAGCAAGCAAGTCCGGTGGGGGCACAGACTGCTGGGGGGCAAAAGTAGGTCCCAGGAAGAAGTGGCAGCAGGTCCAAGGACCTGGCGAGTACCTGCTGACTGTGTGGCAAAACAGCCCAGGCCCACAGCAGCTGGAGCAGGGGCAGGGAGGGAAGTGGGAGCAGGAAAGGGTAAAGGAGAACCAAGCCCAGGAGACTTTTCTGTGTATTGTGGTTTGTGTCTGGATGTCCCCCAAAGCCTCATGCAGTTTTAGATGTGTCTTTTTCAGAGGTGGCTGAATCTAGAGTGTGTGACTGATTCATGGTGTAATCCTGGGATTAAGAGTACTAGAAGTAAGGGTGAGTGGTTGCAGGATCAGTCCACTGAGTAGATTGGCACAACCCTAATCCCAGTAGACTGCATACAATATAAGAGGCAGAAACAGGGTTACTTCCGCTGTCTTCAGCTGCCATGAACTGTTGCCCCTCTGCCATGTGCCACCTTGCCTTGGACCCAGTTGATTATGGACTGAAACCTCTATAAACTGTGAGATAAATAAACCTTTTCCCCTTTAATTTTGGGTCCCAGGGATTCTGTCTCAGCAATGACAGAAAAGTAACTAAGATACTGTGCTATGAAGTTTATCTTCAGTGGGACAAGAAATCATTGGTGGGTCCCACCCAAGGTTACAAAACAGTGAGAGGCAGGAAGAACTGAGTACAAGCCTGTGCACATCCAAATTCTGCACTGTCCTCTGCTGCCCTATCAAGCTGTTCTTCACAGGGCCAGTCATTGAGTGCTGGAAACACAGAAATGATTTCCTGCCCTGGAGTCTACTGATTCTGTGTGACCTATGTAGTTCCATGTTGAGATGGAAGAAAGCTCTCCTCCAATGCTCCTATTACCTCATCATGGCCAGTGTTCCTGTTATGTTGTTTGTGCAGGTGGCCACTTGTAATTCTCCCCACCCCCACCTGAGCATACTGCTGCTACTAAGAGGTACAACCTCTCTCCCTTGTCACTTGTTTGGCCTAATGTGGTAGAAGTGACCTCATGCCTGTTTAGGGCAAGGCCTAGAGAACCCTGGAAGCTCTACTTTTGCCCTTATGGAGTTCTGATCCCCAGAAAAGAAATCTGCCTCCCTTGCCAGAAGGTCGCCCTCGGGAGGGGCCTACCGGTCCAGCTGAGGCTTCAGAAGAGCAAATGAGACACCATCAAGATCCTGGAGGCCCAGGGAGCTCAGCCTGCACCACATGCAGTGGATAGAGACAAGCTGTCCCTGCCAAACCCCGCCTGCCTGCAGGGGAAACCGATGCTGTGTTAAGTCACTGCATTTCCAGGTAGACAAGCAGGACCAGAGATAAGCACAGCAGCCTCTTCTCATAACATAATCTTACTTCTGTATTTGTCTATTCGGGTCCATTTATCACAGGGCCAGTTATATTAATTTTATTTCCTTCTTTTCTACATCCTCAATGCTATGAATCTGGAGATGTCACATAGCCAGAAAGAGACTGTCCTTCCAAGGCCAGCCAGTTCTTGGAGACAGCAAAAGGCTCTCATATACAAACCAAACAGCCAAGAGTCTGAAGATCTTCAGCTATTACTTTATCTAATTCTCATACACCAAGTCACTATTTTCCCTGCCTGTGTCATCCGAGAGCCTGGGAGATCCCACAGCCTACTGGAATTATTCAAACTGAGCAGTCGTAAGCTGACCTGCATTGCATTTCCAAGAGAAACTCCAATAATACCATGGCCCATGGCCCATGCCTTCCTGCCTTTTGCCCCTTCACTGCCCCTGCCCCTTGCCCATACAGCCCTTCATGGCATGCTATGCGCTCCGTGAGGAGCACTGAACTTTTCTTCCAATGGCACTGGCCTCTCCATGTTGTTACTCAACCACCTTTAGAAATTAAGATCCAGGCACAGAGCACAGCCCCTTTAATTTTCTGGAAGGAAAATGTTAAGGACCACTTTTCAACAAAGGAGACCATAGATCGAGAGGAAAAGGGGCAAGCGGTGGCCCCTTGGCTGGAACTGGTCACCAGCCACATTCACATCACAGGTGGTGATGGGATATCTGAAACAGCACCCCAGATCTCATCCAGAGCCAGGCTCAGTGGAGGAGGGGCTGAGACTCCTCAGAGACAGGCCAAATGAGGACTCATAACAGTTTAGCTTTCTGATTTTTCC